TTTCCCCACAGAATGGCCCACCTTCCAGTTCAGGTGGAATGTTTGGAACTACAGTTCCCACCTACAGGGCCTCCTTAAGAGAGGAAGGGGACCAGAGTCCCAGGCCTCACCCATGGGAAGGATCTCACACACATGACAACACTAGTATTGCCACATTGTCACAAGTTCTTTTCTTTTGGAATGGACCTGAGTTTCCTAAACCATGGGGGAGGGGCGGGCCAAAAAATCATGCAAGAAGTTCCGCTGGTATTGGTAGGAGGAGCAAAATGGTTGCATCCTACAGGCAGTGCTAACTGTGCCAACCTAGTCACTCAGCCCAACCCTAACCAGATTTTTGCCCCCCTTCACACACACCCCGAGAATCCAAGGCTAGGCTATTCTCTCTGAATCCCAGGATACTGGAGAGAGATGCAGAAGACGATAAAATGGTCTTCATATTTCTCTGTCCTATGCACTAGGTAAAAGTAAAGGTTTCCCTTGACAAATTGTCCAGTGGTGTCTGACTCTAAGGTGCAGTGCTCATCCCTGTTTCCAAGCCACAGAGCCAGCATTTTGTCTGAAGACAGTTTCCGTGATCACGTGGCCAGCGCAACTAGACACAGAACGCCGTTACCTTCCCACCAAGGTGGTACCTATTTATCTACTCTCATTTTGATATGCTTTTGAACTGCTAGGTTGGCAGGAGCTGGGACATGCTCACTCCATTGCATGGATTCAATTTTACGACTGCTGGTCTTCAGGACTTGCAATGCCTACTTAAAAATAAGACAGGGTCTTATATTAATTTTTGCTCCAAAAAATGCATTAGGGCTTATTTTCAGGATATGTTTTGTTTTACAGTCATGTCATCTTCTTCTGGTTGCTGCACAATGGTACACAGTGGTGGAGGGCGGGGTTTATTTAACGGGCTTATTTTGGAGTTAGGGGTTAAATTACAAGCATCCTGAAAAATCATACTAGGGCTTAATTTCAGTTTAGGTCTTATTTTGGGGGAAACACGGTAATTGTTTCTTGGGCAGTGCATCACATTAGTTCCCAAAACGGGGGATAGTGGGGGTGGCCGTGTATGCCCCCAGTGGGGTGGAGATGTTTTCCAAGGGAATTGTGAAAATCCAGAGAGGATAAATTGGGACCACAGAGCACACAGGACTGGGCACGGTCGCAAGAGCTGGGCAGGGCCTGCAGGGAGGCCACAAGGGCCGTGAGAGGAGATGAAAGGGTAGCACAAGGGCATCCAGGCGGACAGCAGGCAGAGGCAGGCATCTGAACTGTGCAGTTCTTTCCCTTCCTGTTACTGCCCATTCCTTCAGTAAAGCAGGACGAATTAAACTCACCCAGCATGGCCAGTTGTAAAAGTTTTTGGAAACTGTAGTCCAAACACCCGGGGAATCAAAGGTTCCCCGAGACGAATGCATACAATAAGGCATCTTCAGGGGCAGCGAGAGGAATGCAGTGAGAGGAATGTAAGGAAGACCTTGTAAAACTAGAGGTTTCATTGCTTGCTCACTCATTTTGAGAAGGAATGGAAAACATTTTGGGACATGCCAAGTCCAGACTCTGGGATGTCCCCTTAAAGGAATCCCTAGGAGGGAGCATTTAAGCAGACACGGCTTTGTGGCAGCTGGCAGACATTCCTCTTCTACCCAAGTTCTGAGAAGAGCCATCCCGGGATCTGCCATGGCAACCCTGGGCGTCTGGAGGCCTTCTGCGCAAAAGCAGCACTGCTTTCGCCTTTGGCCTCTGCACATCAATGAATGAAAAAAAAATGGTCTAAATGAAACATGCTCCTATTCAGACACAGACAGCTGGATGGGGGAAGTCTGGTTTTGAAAAGAGCAATTTTTTCAAGCTATTGGCAGGAAATTATTTTTCTCTTCCAGAAAGGGTCTGAGACAGGAAATGTTTGGTTTTGGAGTATAATTTTTCAGAATTGCAGAGCTGGCACAGACACTGGCCAGGTCGATTGTGGGATTCTGGGAGCGCAAGTGGCATGCAGTGCTTGCTATTTGCCTAACCCACACACCCCAGGTAACCTTTTCCCCACCACTGGAAGCAAAAATCAAGTTGTGGCACCTTGGCGGGGCTGCCACAGAGCATGAACTGAGCTCTGGAACTGTTCCAGAGCATGAACTGTCATGGGGGGAAGATGGTGGTTTTCGTGGCAGGCATATCCCCCCTCTGCCTGTCCTTTTGTCCCACTCTTTGTGTAGCAGGCCTTTTCTGGTACCAATGAGCCTGCAGGTGGGGACTGTCTGGCCTACCAGCTGCTCAAGCTGTATTTTTGATGAAAAAGCAAACTACAAAATCAATACAAGGGGAAGAATCTTCATAAGCCGCTGGGAAGTGAGGAACGAGTGAGCAACTCAATAATACTTGACCTCTGTTGCGTTATGTCCAAGATGTTTCAGAAACAGAATTCCTGATTCATGGGCTATTAAAAAACAACTTAGTATCTAAATGTTACATCAAAAATGTAACCAATCAAAAATACTTTGAAGGATACGAAGTATTTAAACAAGCCCCTTTGTTATAACTTGGGGAGCTCTAGATACAAGTCTCCACTTCTATTTGCTGAAATCCGGCTGCTTAGAGTTGTGAGTAAGACTCTGAGACCCCAAATTCTTGAGTTTTCTTCCCAGAGCTTCAAAGTCTGATGTGATTTTTTGCAGTTCCTCTTGATTGTGTCATTTGTTCCGACACGGATGAGAAGAAAGGGATCTGTATCCGTGGGTTATACGAGCGATGGCTAACTTTCTGGCATCCTTGTGCCACCCTCCAGGAAGACAGCATACGTACCTGGAAGATCTATGGATCTTCTTGGCGTATTTCTGTTTCAGTCCCACACAATAGGGAGTCTCCTACTACAACCACTTCTCTTCGTTTTGTAGAGTGTGGATTCAGTGGCGCGTCTTGGTTACGTTTCATCCTCTTCCTGCATGTGTACGCTGTGTTCCTCTCAGGCATGAAGACAAACACTGCACACACTTTGTAGGTCACCACCACAGAAATGTCTCTCTTCCCTCCACTGTGCCTGTTCACTTTTTAACATTCTTCTTTGCCTCTGTGCCCTTTGCTTTGTCTTCTCTGCCTTGAAGGGTGCTGGGAGAATCCGCTCCTGTACAACTCTCTGCCTGAAAAAACAGATTACAGTTCTCAACTCCCCAACAACCCCCACCCTAGAATAGCTATGCAGTCAGAATGGTTTGGCAACTTGCAGTAAGAAAGCAACCTCTCAGAGCTTCAATTTGCCTGGCACCCAGCATCCGCACCGGCCAGGCCCTTGGGGCTCAGCTGCCCTTGAAAGATGACACCCCAAATGTAGTAAGAAAGTAAGCAAACCAAGTCTTTTTTTTTGTCTTTGTTCTCCTTCCTGAGAAAAAGCGCAGTGTTCTGTGCTTCTGTTTCTTGTAAAACAACTTCTTATAATAGTTTGCATATTCCAAAATGTATTTTAATGTATTGTCTCACTTTGAGTTAACATTTTGATGTTTTGTGTTTATTGCATTTGCTTTGTGTTTGTTGCATTTGCAGAAGGTCCTGAATAAAGAATAACATTTCTAAAATGTGTTGGGCATAATAAATAATTGAGGCACTCTGAGAACTGTTCTCCACTGTGATTCCTACACACACACACACACACACAATTTTTATTGAAGCTTTCAGTAGAAATGGAAGAACCATCCAGTCCATGCAGAGAGAGATTCAGCTGCAGGGCTCTGTTGGGGCTTTTCATTGTTCTTGTTGTGCTTCTTAGACCACACAAGGATTGCCAGGGCATCCACAACAGGCGGGGTCACATGATGCCTTTTCCAAGCAACGGTGAACATGTGGTCAATAACAAAGGACAGCTGGGACTGCCTTGCCTGCAGGCAATCTTGACTCTGTCTGAGTCAAGACAGTTAAAAACTGAGTTAAAAACCGCAGCACAAATGATTAACATCCTACAACACTTTGTCTCGAGGTGGAGACACCCCAAAACATTTAGCTCCCTAAGGTGGCAAACAAGGGGTCCCCTTCCCATTCCATATACAGATGCTGACTCAAATGGGAGTTGACTTTTCTTCAGTACGAGCAATGGAGAAGTAGCTTGGGGAGCTGGACCTGGGAAAAGCCAGGCACTGTGGCATACAGCAACCTCCTCCAACGCCTTCCCGCCATGTTCCAGCATCTGCCACTTGAGCTGGGCATCTCACTTTGCAGAAACGTAGGGCCAGGGGTGCCTCCGGGACCCCCAGTAATATGGAAGTCTCTGTTGATTCTTAGTGGGAACTGCTGAAATATTAGCCAGATCCAGTGGTGTTTAAAAAGAAATCTTTTGGGCAATTGTCCAGTTGGACTCCTCGTATGTTTTGACTGTGTTCTTTGATTTAGAAATTGATTCTAAATTAAGCCCTTGGGTCTATTGGCAAACCGCCCAATGCACTAGCTCATCTATTGAACTTTCAGGACAGTAAAGGCATTTGTTACTCTTGAGGGGGGAGAAGCATTTCCTCCCCTAGGACAAGCTTTTGAACTAGTCCTGCTCCAGTGACAGCTCCATAATTTCCACCTGACCGCAGAGGCGCCGAGGGATCAGTCTGCTTCACAGAACAAAAGTATCCCTACAGTACAGGAACTACAATGCAATCACTTAATTTTGTGCATTTGTTGGTTTTAACTATGTGGTATGTGGACCGCTGTGCCGGCAGAGTGTGTAAGACTCAAAGATCTATTTGGGGAGGGGGAGATGGGAAGGGGACTACAACAGCCAGCGAGAGGAATGGATAGCTGACTGACAGCTTAAACAAGAGCTCAGGAGTTCTCTGCCCGCTAAAAATAAAGAACGATGTGAATGTCAGTGCTAGGAAGTCTTTCTCCCCTTGCAAAATCCGTGTGGTGCTCATCTCTTTTCCAGTAATAAGGCCCACATTTCTCCCATGTATTTAAAACAAACAGCAACCACAAGACAGTGCTGCAGAAACGGCCTGAGGAATGAGTAAGAAATACAGCCTTACATCAGCTTTGAAAGTCCTGGGACTCAAAAGATGGCTTTTTATTGCCTTTTGGCTATGGATTGTTCGCTTCATTTTCAAGACAAATGTGCAAAAACAAACCAAAAAAATAAGCAACAAGCAATACAAAGAAAACAAGACAATGGGGAAAACGGTACATTGCAGTTCAAGAGCCTTGGATTTGGGCGATCTTAGTAACTTTCAGGAGTGGGTCCCTTGATTTGAATTGGTATTCTGGCATGGCATGATGTGGTTGATGCTCCATGTGAGATTTAACCCTGCCTCCAACTGCAATAATTATCAGGATCAGGCTCTTCATGCCTGTTACTCACATTGGAAAATGGAACTTTGTTGATTTTAAAGAAACTTTAGTGTTTTAGATTGCCAGCACAGTCCTATGCATATTTACTCTGATTAAGTAAAATTGAGTTCCAAATGCTTTGCTTGTAATCTGCTACAGTTAAAAGTGATTCAGGTAAAGAAGCAGGATTTCCCCAGCTACCCCTTCCTTGAAACATCAAGAACTAAAAGTTCTGCTTGACACACTTCCAACGGCAGAAGGGAGTTGAGGTCATGTCAAAGGAAGTGGGGAAAATGCAGAAAGAATGTGACAAAACACTTGGAATCTAACTAGAAGAAAAAATGAAAACCAGATGTTTGCTTTGCTTTGGTTATGCAGATAATCAGTCTCCTTAAAAGGTGAAAGAAATGCACCTCCATAAGGTGTACTCAAATAGAAGGCTGTTTTGCTTAAAGCAGAGCTGGGAATATATGCTCTCTAGATCAGTGATCCTCAACCTTGGGCCTCCAGATGTTCTTGGACTACAGCTCCCAGAAGCCTTCACCACCACCTCTTGCTGGCCAGGATTTCTGGGAGTTGAAGTCCAAGAACATCTGGAGGCCCAAGGTTGGGGACCACTGCTTTAGACCTTCTAGATCAGTCATTCTCAAACTGAGGTCCCAAGAAGTTCTTAAACTGCAATTCCCAGAAGCCTTGCCCACTTTGTGCTGGCCAGGATTTCTGGGAGTTGAAGTCCAAGAACATCTGGGGACACAAGTTTGAGAACCACTGACCTAGATGCTCTCGGAAGATTGCTCCCATAACTCCTAACAATGGGTTGAGGCTGGCGGGTGGCGATGGGAGCTAGAATCCAACACTTGGACAACCCCAGGTTTTCTAATTTTTAAGTTTTATTTGATACCACATTTCAGGGTCTGCTGTCGAGTAATTTCCAGAAATCCTGTTATCTTTGAATCAGTTAGGGCACCCCCTACAAATTCAAATCCTTGAGGTTTATCCCAGCATTTGGGGTGGGGGTAGAAATGTCTAAACTGGAGGGTTGGAATTTGGTGGCAGTTGTTGTGGAAGGAAGGAAGGAAGGAAGGAAGGAAGGAAGGAAGGAAGGAAGGAAGGAAGGAGCCAAAGTAGAAGATAGACAGCGCAAACACTAGTGCAAGGAAATCCAGCTGCTGAGCCCTTGGGGAGCACTTACACTGAACTCCTCAGATTGTTTATGTCTACCTGATCAAGCAGACATTTCCCATCCAGGCACAGCAGAGAAAGTATGCTACATTTCCTACTCGACTGATGGAATTCTAGAATGTTCTTCCTTTTCCATTTTAGGTTGCTACGCTAATTTTTCATTACACTTTGGATTGGGTGCATGTGCGATCGTGGGATGTATGGCTGACTTTCTCATCAGGGCTTTGATTAGATAAGTCAAAGTAACACTTTATATGATCCTTCTTTTCCACCTGATCTATTTTCTGTTATCTTGCAATGCCTTCTCCTGCTGCTGATTCGTGGTGGATTCATGGAAGGATGGCAGCATAGTTGCTGGACAGAAGTGGAAAGAAGGAAGCAAGCAGGACCTTTGCCTACACATTGAAAGTCCACCCCATTCTTGAAGGCGCAACACGTTGACCCTCATTCCCAGTCGTAGTCTTTTGTCTCAACCATTCACATTACCCTCCAATTTGGAAACATACAAATCCTCACAAGAATCTAAGAACACATTGTTTCAGGAAACCTTCAAACCAGTTTGTGGCACAGCAGTTCCAACATGCACAGCAAATATTCAGATACAAAGCAGATTAAGATGGGACTCATGCATCTCCAGGACTGAGAATTCTGTTTAGAGGAGTGCATTAGAGTTTTTTTTTTTAAGTACAGAACTCTTTATATTATTCAGCAATGCCCAGTATCGTATCATTTTTCTTAATTTAGAATCATTCCCACCCACTTGCCGAATGGTTAATAAACACTTGTGTAAATCCCATAGAGTCAAAGGGTTTCTTCTAGTTAAAACTTGCAACAGGATACAGGCTGGCAAATCCCACAGGATGGTGCCAAGACACATAAAAGTTGCATCTCTATATAGTGGAGACAGACCTTCTGATGAGAAACACTGGGGACACCTGCTTGAAATTATCTTGGTGGACAATCAAGTATGAAATAGGAATGGTACTGGCCCTGCTCTTTCTCCACTTGAACCAGGAATGGGGAGTCTATGAGCCACTCCTGGTATCATCAGGGCTCCGAACTAAGGCTTCCTCTGAGCTCCCTTCCAATCTGTTATCCCCTGATCTCCCTTGGGCTGCTGGGGCTGCTAGCCATAAAGCTTCTTTCCCAGAACGCCCTGCAGGAATGCTATACATCAGCAGGTGCTGTGAAAAATTTAAATGGTGGCTGCTGTCATCAAGGAGAATCACTAATGCCCATCCACTCTTGAAGAGGTGGGCACTTGAAGGAAGGTGGCTCACAGCCCCCCCCCTCCAAATCCAACCTGGAGCTAACAAGGTTGACCTACTTTAATCCATTCAAGTTTTTCCCCCTCTTTTCAGCCCTTTTCATTGGAGAACTATAAAGAACATGCAGTATCCCACCCAAATGGCTTTTAAGAAATAATACAATTGCATCACTTCATAGAAAACAGGTAGGTTACCTGCATTTATGGACGGCTGGTTTTGCAATTATCCTTCTGTGATTCTCCTAATCCCCACCCCCTGCATGCCAGGTAGTGCAGCATCTGGGTACAGCACATCCCCATCATCCTGGGAAAGTCCTATAGCCAAAATCCTGTTCTCAGGTTATGTCTGAACTGTCAGAGCTTTATTTTTCGATCTTTGGGAAACGAAAGCACTCTCTGCTAAGGGGCCCGGCAATGGCACATTTAGGTAAGTTTAAATTCTAGACTTCATTATCTTTTGTCCCCGCCCCCCCCCATTCTGGACTCTGTGGGTTTACCTCTCCAAACGGGAATTTGGGAGTGAATTCCTTCACTGACTTCAAAATCGCCCTACTTTCTCTGTGTTAGGGCCTTCAGGGACATTCCGCAGAGTTTGGCTCCGGATATTTGCCCTGATGGACTCTGTGGGTTTACCTCTCCAAACAGGAATTTGGGAGTGAATTGCTTCACTGACTTCAAAATCACCCTACTTTCTGTGTTAGGGCCTTCGGGGACATTCCGCAGAGTTTGGCTCTGGATATTTGCCCCAAAGTCCTGCCATAGGGGCACCATTGAGGCATGGATTCCAGCAAGCAAGGATTGGGGGAAACAACGTCCTTCAGTGCAAATCCCAGACGTGTCAAGGAAAGGGAAATTCTCCCAGGGAATGCCCACATATTCTAGCCTGGCAGTGATTAAAAAATGGTGTTAATTCAGGACAAGTGCATGGCGGCTAAATCAGGTCTACCGGACCAGCTCCTTTAATCAATGGGGTCAGAGAGATGAGATTTGCTCCTTGTCTCTGAAGCCCTACCTTCAACAATAAATTAAGGTGGGGGGGAGGGAGTTGAAACCATGTGCCATAACTACCCCCTTGTCTTCCCCTGCTTGAAAGAGAGGAAAGAGTGGCACGGTCTCCACACAAGGAATCTCTCTTCTGAGACAGGAGCAGGTGTGGGTGGTGGCAACGGTGGCTGAAGCTGGAATGGAAATCAGGCAGCTGCTTCAGCGAGAGCCTGCTTTGCTTCTCTCTGGCCTTTCCCCTAAGCAGAGGAGGTCACAAAGCCAGCTGAGTGCCTTGGACGCTGCACTACCCAACCTAGGCCGCCTCTGGATGGAAAGAGCCTGATGGGTCAAAACCAGCTCTGAGTGAAGCGCTGGCTGGAGAAGAGCTCTTTCAGCAAGCCTTGTGGTTGTTTCTCTCCTCTCAGGCTCTTCTTGGCTGGGGAAGGCCCAGACAAGGCAAAAACCAGCTAGCTCTATTACCAAAGTTGAGAAGTCTTCCGGTGAGCACTTTTGACGGGGAACTAGATAGCACAGGGTGCCCATTCCTTTCTGTCAGGTTTCAGAATTAAGCAGCTCATAGGCTGCAATGTGGTTCCCAAGTTCCTTTTGTGCCCCGACGGTCTCCTTAATTTCCCCTCCCCATCCCCAAATATTGTAGAAATATGCAGTTATCAAAAACAAGACATGCTTTTAGAAACAACCAAGCAAGTTGGTTTAACATGGAGGGGCTGGTAGTGAAGGGCCAAAGGGTTGTGAAAAAAGGCCTTACGTCATCTGGCTCACAGCAGAAATCTGACTTTCTGACTTTCCCATACTCTAGGAATTCACCAGGTCATAAAAATCCATTTTTAAAGGACTAAAAGAAAAGATGGTTGGATAGCTTAGCGGTTTAGGTATCTGGCTGTGTGGCCAGAGGTTGGGCATTTGATTCTCCACTGTGAATCCTGGGAGAACAGCCAGCCTGTGTAGCCATGGGCAAGCTGCGCAGTCCCAGGGTGCCCCCAGAAGAAGGGGATGGTAAACCACTTCTATGAATTCTCTGCCTAGAAAACCTTGGAACGTGTTGCTGTAAGTTGGAAACTACATGATGGCATCCAATTATTCCCATTCTTAAAAGGAATTGTGTTTTCTAAAGAGATGAGACCAGATGCAGTCAACTGGGAAACTTCCCTTGGGGAAAAATTAGTTCCAAATTATAATTAAGGCATGATTATTGACTCAAGATCTTCACAACAGTGACACAACCATTGTTGCTAATAAGCTTGTTTTACTGCAAAAAACCCAATGAGTCTCTAAAGTTGGGCAGGGGAGAGAACTTGCAAATGATGAACTTGAAAATGAGATTCGCAATTAAAGTGTACGATTCTTTTTTTAAAAACCTTGCTCTTCTACCTGAGGATAAAAGACCATAAGTAGGGATTGCTGCTTGGCTCCCAAAAGAGCTTAGAAAGAAGCTTCTGAGTATAAAACTATAATCTCATAACATTTAAAACCACATCTCTATGACTTTAGGAGGCACCAGTTTATCATTTTAGAACCCTAGTAGTTCCACCTAACGTTTCCCTGGGGTTCTTACAAATGAGTTTTTGAAAGAGAGCTCGGCAGAGTTATTTCTTTGGATAAAAACTCCCAAGTCCTCTATTTAGCTTGCCCTGCCCGGGTCCGGCAGTTCTGGAAGTTGTAATCCAAAACAAGATAACTCTGTCAAGCTCTGCTTCAGATGAGGACAGAGTGGAGAGGGAAGTCTGGATGAGGAGCAGCAGTTCCCCCACTCCAACTTACTAAATCTGTAATCAATTTCCATTTCAAAACACAGATTCTCCCACGTACACTGAGTGGGTTGGGTTGAAGACAGATCTCATAAGGCAAGGAAGGAATGGGACCTTGAGCAATCAATCCATTGAGCAGCATCCGATGTGCTATGCTTCCGTAGCCCAGTTTGGGGTCCAAGTACTAGCTGGCTGACTAAACAGCTGCTACTGCAAAGTCATAAGACACAGATCCATGCTTGGAAATGCCCAGTGTGATGCAGCAAAATAAAAAGAAAGGAACAACAACCGCATCCACAATCCCTCTGACATGGAATCAGACTCCAGAACCTATATCCATGACCACTTCCCTGGATGATTGTTTGCTCTTCTCGCCGAGAGGCTCTCGTGTTAGTTCCAAAAGCCTATCGGAAGATTCTCCTTTGCTTTCCAGTTTTGCACAGTTGATTAAACCCATGTGGTCAAGTCTCGGCCAACTCCTGTGCTTCCTTTCTTTGACAGGTGCCACGAGCACCACTCCTGGCTGGCCAAGATCCAAAGACTTGGAGTGACCTGAAGTAGAGATTTCAGTGCCTGAACTGAACTCCCTCTTTACATTTATAGGATGCAAGAGCTTCTCAAGGGAAGTGGCTGAGGAAGACTCTGTATCCATATCAATAGCTATATGATTGCCCTTGGGTTCATCTTTTAGGGGAGCCACACTGCTGCCTCCGGGTAGAAGAGTCCACGAAAGCCTTAGTATCTCTTCCCTCTCTTCTGGCAATCTAACACAAGTGCCTTCCTGGACAATTACCTGAGAAATGCCCTGTTTTTCAAACAGACGGTTATTGAGCTTAATAAGAGGCAGTGAGAGGGTGTTGACAGCTGTGGAGATGACCGATTCATCTCCATGGGCAAAGGAGAGGCCAAGATTTTCTGGCATGGAGTGGCCAACCTCCGAGTGGACACTCAAGAGTGAGAGGGAAGGTGACACACTTTTGTGATGAAGAAGCTGGGTGGCAGTCTGGAGTTTATCTGAGCTGTAACTGTTGCTCCACTTCTTTACAGGGCAGGAACAGGACAGGAACCCACCGGAAGAGAGATCCACCTCGTAACATCCTTCTACACATTCTGCGTTGGCCTGGACGGTAGATGGGCTCGGCTTCCTCTGAAAGTAACTGCTTGCTTGGCCTGTGTCTTGAGGGACACTCAGGCTCATGGAATAGAGTTCCCTTTGCATCAGCAAGCGGGTCTCCATATCTCTGTTCTCATACAACATGGTGTTGGCACAGATGAAGATGAACAACCCAATGCCCATAATAACAGGCCCAACCAGCTTCAGCTTCTCGCTGTGAGGAATGGGGTGGGAGGAAACTTTCACTTCCTTCTTGATCTCATCTGTGGCATTGGAGTTCCCCAGCCTGCTACCTCCAGATCTTGTACGGTGAGGCCAGTACCCAATGACAGCAATGGTCATGCCCACCAGGACCACTGAGACACCCACCATCACAAAAGCTCCTGAGGGTGATCGCATCCGGAGCTGCCCCTTCACAGTCACTTCGGAGGGCACTTTTCGCCGAAACCTGCCCCTATGCCATCGGGAAGGAGCAGAAGTTCTTGCTGGCTTCTTCCCAGATGGATTGTGATTCTTCATGGTGCTTTTAGCTTCAACATCTCCAGCTGTCATCATTACAATCATGTTGTCCATGGGCCATCTATCAACCACAGGAGAGAAGAAAAAGAGAAGATATTAACTAACACAAAACACACTCAAACACAGGCTTCCGGGCACCTCTCACTTGGCTAGAAAATGGCATGTCAAAGTACACCCTGAAACAATTACTTTCCTAAAACAATTAACTTTTCTCTAGTGCCTCTTCCCTTTCTAAAGTCAGAAAAGGAAGAGGCATTAGCGATAACATTGCAAGTGTATGCCAGATACTGGAGCATACCAAAGAATTTCACATGGAAATGTCTCTGTCCTTTGTAGATTGCAGTAAACCCATCTGTGTGAATCAGGAAAAGGTATAGATCCATGTTGTGTAGCCATCGCCATCACCATGCCTGCACTACTTGGGGGAATGTTACCAGAGGCAGGGTCCACAGCAACAACCTGGGTCTAGTCTGGGGGAGCTGACCCTGATATAACTGTGACACTGGAGGAGGACGCAACACAGGGAACACCAGGGTTGACTTCAGGAGCAGTAGAAGCTGCTGTACCAGATCTGTACCCTGTTGAGGCCTCAAGTTCTCCATGTGGGCATACAGGCCTTCACTTCCTCATGCCTCCATTTCCAGCACCACATGGTAAAGGTAGGTAAGGTTCCCCTTGACAATTTGTCCAGTCGTGTTCGACTCTAGGGGACAATGCTCATCCCTGTTTCCAAGCGCTGGAGCCAGCATTTGCCCGTAGACAGTCTCCGTGATCACGTGGCCAGCGCGACTAGACATGGAACGCCGTGACCTTCCCACTGAGGTGGTACCTATTTATCTACTCACATTTTTACATGCCTTTGAACTGCTAGGAGCTGGGACAAGCGACAGGAGCTCACTCCATCGTGTGGATTCGAACTGCTGGTCTTTCGACCTTGCAGCCCAGAGGCTTTCTGTGGTTTAACCTGCAGCGCCACCACATCCCCACATGATGCCCACTAGTAAGCCAGGCAGAAACTCACATAGCCCAGTACAGTTGACTTGGAGTGTGGAACAAACCCAGACTGAGCCAGGACTAATGAAGATAACTAGGCCTGATGTTGGCCAGCCAAGACAGCCAGTTTTTGTTGAACACCCCCCCCCGTCAAGTTCTAATAAATCCTTCTTCGTTTCAAGCACTGCTGTTAAGTCCATGGATTTGGAGGATCCACGTGCTGACTCTGTCAGGGCTGGCATTCAAATAGCGTGCTTAGATTCAGATGAAGGAGGAGTGAAAACCGGAGGAAGAAACAGCAGTAACGTAAGATGTGCCATGTCACTACACCTCTGACAGAAAATAGCAAAAATCTGAAATGATTTCTCATGAAGGTTAGAGGAAAAACGTCAAAGCAAGTTAACAAGTGAACATTAAAGAGACAAAATAGCGACTACAGAAGAATTGCATGACTTTATTGTGGACCATGGAAAAAAAAATCTAAATTGTTTAAGATTTTCCATACCTTAATTCAATTATTTAGCAAACCCACGAAATTGAAGGGAAACTCAGTAGACTGGGAAGGGTTACTGTGAAGTAACTACAAAAGATCCTTAAGAGTAAGGATGTTGCTGGAGACCAAGTTCAAGATCGTGGATACAGTACGTATTTTGATGTTCCTGATCACCCTAGATGGGTGTGAAGGCTGGAACAATAAAGCTGACAGGAAAAATATTGATTCATTTGAAATATGGTATTGAAGAAGTATTAGCTATTTCATAGAAAGATAAATAAGTCTGCTCTAGACATGATGAAATTAAAATGACTAAATTGAGATTACTGTACGTTTGACATATAATGAGAAGACACAACTCACTGGAAAATATAACAGAATTAAGAAAAGTTGAAGGTAGCAGGATAAGGGAAGGATTTTACATATGAGTTAGATTCATTTAAAAAAAATGACCTTTAGTTTGCAAGATTTGTTTAGGCTGTGAAAAATAATATTTTTTGTCAGGTCTCATCTGCTGCATAGCTCCATGGTTTAGATATCTAGCAGGGAGATCAATTCCTCCCTCTGTGCCTCCCTGAAAGAGGCTGGACCTGATGATCCACAGCGTCCCTGTCCAGATCTACAGCTCTAAGATCATTACAGGTCTTTAATTCACAGCAATGCTGTCGGCCGAAAGCATAACACACTTAGTCTTCCTTTGCCAATGCCTATCTCATCACAAAACAAGGGCTGCTTATCTGCTGGAACCACTTCCATAACGTCTTAAAGCCAAAAACAGGGGGGGCCTTGATTCTACTTGAGAACTAAAATGGTGCTGTGACGAAATTGCTGTAAAAGCTGGGTTCAGATCCTGACACAGCCATGAAATTCAAATGATCTCCGGCCAACACACACACCCCTCCTGCTCACATACTTCACAGGATTGTTGTGAAGATAAAAGGGGATAAAAGTAGGGAGAAGGAATGGGATTAAAATAAAACTCACTGTTACACAATCCAAAACCATACACTCTAGAGACAAGAGAAGAACCTCAGTCCAAATGCAACTAGCATGACAGACCAAACGCAAGGAGATGGGCTTCTCCTTTGATGCAACAGGAACAAGACCGGCACTGCTAATGATTAGGCATTTTGTGGCATCTTGGCAGTGTGGGGCTGGTAATGTGCTTTTGAATATGACTAGGTCACTTAATTTTTATATTTAAGTAAAGTTCTGGGCTAGTGCCTCTTCCCTTCTAAAAGATGTTCATTGTGAAGCATAACACATACCAGCTCCATCTACAATGCAAATCTCACCACTAAACAAGGCTTGTTTCTCTTCTGCAGTCGCTTCCATAATTATCAGTCTCCTAAAGCCATACAGTTCTAAGATTAGTATTATAGGTCTTTAATTCACAGGGATACCACTTATGTCTACACTTACGTAGACTACGTATAATGTTGGACAACTGAATGCAGAAATGTAACTTGCACATCTTTCTTGTTGCAGTGGTGTAGGGAGAATACAAACTGGACATGTGTAGTTCACTTTTTCACTTTAGTAGTGCTTTTGCGCTGTAGCACTGTACTATTCCAACTCATTTTGTCTCCATGAAACATTTTGTTTTTCAAAATAACAAGTCTTACAGTATGCTGCCTGGTGGAAATTTCAACATGATAGTCATTGCGGAGCATAACACATACCAGCTCCACCTACAATGCAAATCTCACCACTAAACAAGGCTTGTTTCTCTTCTGCAATCACTTCCATAATTTTCAGTCTCCTAAAGCCATACAGTTCTAAAATTATCACAGGGATACCACTTATGTCTACACTTACGTAGACTACGTATAATGTTGGACAACTGAATGCAGAAATGTAACTTGCACATCTTTCTTGTTGCAGTGGTGTAGGGAGAATACAAACTGGACAAGTGTAGTTCACTTTTTCACTTTATTAGTGCTTTTGCACTGCAGCACTGTACTATTCCAACTCATTTTGTCTCCATCGGTTTTCAATGCATTTCAATGGGCTTTTTTATTTCACTTTACGACGTTTTCGCTCTACAGAAATTTCGCTGTAACGAATTAACGTCGTAAGCGAGGCACCACTGTATAAATAGACATAGACAGAAACACTGAACTATGGTGGAATTCATGTTGCATGTTTTGGGCAAAGTTTGAACTCGAGTCTGAGAAGCTAAACAGGGACAACTTGGAGTTAATAGAGATGAGAAGAGAGCTAAGTTCAGAAAAAGTGTCTGCTTTGCTTTCTAATCGTTTTAAGGTGTGATTAGTCTCCTGGGGATTTTAAGTGTACAAGCTTTGTGATGAAAAGAGGTTTCCTACCTCAAACTGTCAAGCTATCATAATTTTTATGAGGGAGTTTTTACAAAGAGAAAGAACAGAAGCGTGTAAAAGATGACAATTCAAAGAGGTCTTGGAAAAATACAGCTAATCCTTTAGCAAGATGAAGTTAAGCTATGCCTCATGATGGAGTTGCTCCTGCAGCTAACCTTTGTCTCTTCCAAGAGCCAGTGAGCAGACAAATATATAACACATTTTAAAGCTTCCCTTTGAATTTTCCAGAGATTATTTTCCTTCTCTTCAGCCTTCAATTGCTTCTAATACACTTGTCCCCTCAGCCCTCTGCTGAGGATAACTAACTTTAATTACCATCTGAGATGTGACCTACCTTATCAAGTTACATTAAGCTACTAAATCTCCTGCTGACAATGTAGGTGGTACCAACCCTTCCAAACTTTTGGCAAAATCAGTCAGCCTCACTGCAAACTTTCAAGTGCTGTCAGGTCATGCAAGGAGAGATTGTTCTCCGAGAGAACTCATTCCTCTTGATGGGTTTTATGAGAATGTTATGCACATCCACACTGATTACAGCAACACAAGGCACATGGCACTATTTTTTCAATCTTTGATAGTTCTCTTTTTGCTAATTCTGCTGCAGCTCATCCTCTTTGAAAAGCCAGTTATTTTCACAGATGTAACCATCGTTTCTGGGAAGAGCTAGCAAAAGTTACTTATAAAGACAACATTTATTAAGTGCTCCAGCACTGGAGGCATTCAAGAAAAACTTAGATAATCACCTGGCAGATACAGTACACTTTGATTGTACAGTGCGGTGCCTTGACTTACGAAATTAATTGGTTCCGGAACTCTGGTCATAACTCAAAATGGTCGTAAGTCGAAGCACCATTTCCCATAGGAATGCATTGAAATGCAACCTGATCCGTTCCAGCCGAAGAAAAAAAAATCACAACAACAAAATTACCCATCAGCAACGCGATTAATCCGATGTGGCCGGGAGGGGGGAGAAAAGCAAATAAACCGTGCAAGACCCTTCAGAAATGCAAAAAAAATAAAAAAAAATAAAAAAAAAATAAAAAAAAAGCAAAGCAAAAAGCAAAGAAACCACGCAAGACCTTTGGGAAAAGCAAAAAAAGCAAAGCAGAAAGCAAACAAACCGTGCAAGACCCATCGGAAACGAGGAAAAAGCAAAGCAAAAAGCAAGCAAACTGTGCAAGACCCATCGGAAAGGGAGGGACCCAAAAAGCGAACAAACCCCGCAAGACGCATCAGAAATGGGAAAAAAACACAAAAAAACAAACCGTGCAAGTCCCATCAAGCATAGAAACATAATCCCACCACCCAGCCCAAAACCACGCAGCAAAACCCACCCAAAACAGTTTTTAATAAGTAGGAAGCAGCACCTTACCAGGAAGTCTGAAGCCTCCTCCAATCGCACACTCTAACCGCTGGGGCAAAAGAGCTACAAAGAAGCAGCCTCTTCGCCAACAACGGTTAGCAATTTGAATTCCCCGCCTTTCCCCCCTGCCTTTTTCTGGTTGTAACTCGAAGTTCTGACTTGTAACTTGTAATTTTGCTTCAACTTGTAACTTGCAAGTCGAAGCAAAATTTTGTAGCCAGAGCTGGCCGTAACTCAAAATGGTTTTATGTTGGGTCGTTTGTAAGTTGAGGCACCACTGTATTCCTGCATTGAGCAGAGTGTTGCACTTGATGGCCTTTGTAGGCCCCCTTCCAACTTCACTTTTCTATGATTCTATGATCCCCAGAATCTCCAAACGAACAGCTGAAAGTTCTGGAAATTAGAGTCTAAAAAGCAACTTCTCCAAATTGTGTTTCTGTGATTCTTGAAGGATGCAATACCTCAGAGTTAAGAGTACTGATTGTGTTGATTTCATTATCACTGTATAATAGTGAAAGATTCTGTATGCCTTGCTTCAATCATCAATCGAAATGGAGACTGCAGCCAAGAAATCAGAAGACTGAGACTCAGAAGGACAGCAATGAAGGATTTGTCACTGGAGACTAAGACCAAGATCATCCACACTCTTGTATTCCCAAATTCACCACAGTGTGAAAGCTGGACAGTAAAGAAAACTGATAGAACAGAAATTGTAGGTAAAAGCAAAACAGAAGTTAAAAAAAGACAAAAACTTGGTGGCAACTTAAAGACTAACTAATGTATTTTTCAATGTAAGCTTTCATGGGCAAGCCCATGAAGTGGACTTGTCCACAAAACCTCACAGTAAAAAAAATATAAAAGTTAGTCTTTCAGGTACCACCACATACTGTATTTGTCTTTTTTACTTTTTATTTGTTTTGCTTTTATTGATAATGGCTGCACAGACTAACATGGCTACCTCTATTACAATAGGGGGAAAATGATTCATTTGAAATAGGATGCTGGAGGAGAGCTTGATAGAAACCCTCGACAGCCAGAAAGATGAATAAGTGGGTCTTGGAGCAAATCAAGCCTGAACTATCTCTGGAGGCAAAATGATGATGGAGGCTGTCCTATTTTAGGCACATTATGAGAAGGCAAGGTTCTCTGGAAATAACAATAATGCTGGGAAAGGTTGAGGGCAGCAGGAAAAGAAGAAGACCGAATAGGAGATGGACTGAATCCCTAAAAGGAGACCATAGGCTACAAGAAGTGAGCAGGGCTGCTGAAGAAAAGACAATTTGGGGACTGCTGATTCACGGGGTCGCCATAACTCTGAGATGACCTGACAGCACATAAGGACAGCAATATGTATAATACACCAGTGAAAATAAACTAGTGGCCCAAAGTTCCTAAATAGCCACTAAATAAAAGTTGAGTGGCATCCTTTTGAGAGTGACTGATAAAACCTTTGATGGTGATGCGAATAATAGAACTGTTAGGCTGGATGCGAATTTTGTCACACTTCAAGTAAACCCAGGAAAACCACTGGAATTTAAGTCCCACTGATTTCCATCAATCTCCTTCAAGTTTGGCTAAATGTGGATTCAACCCACTGTCTCACACTGATTCTTCATGTGTACTTAAGCCATAATCTTACAAAAAAGAATCTGCCAAAGGGATGGATAACTTGGGGAAGAATTGTACAGTTTTTAATAAGTAGGAAGCAGCACCTTACCAGGAAGTCTGAAGCCTCCTCCAATCGCACACTCTAACCGCTGGGGCAAAAGAGCTACAAAGAAGCAGCCTCTTCGCCAACAACGGTTAGCAATTTGAATTCCCTGCCTTTCCCCCCTGCCTTTTTCTGGTTGTAACTCGAAGTTCTGACTTGTAACTTGTAATTTTGCTTCAACTTGTAACTTGCAAGTCGAAGCAAAATTTTGTAGCCAGAGCTGGCCGTAACTCAAAATGGTTTTATGTTGGGACGTTTGTAAGTTGAGGCACCACTATATTCCTGCACTGAGCAGAGTGTTGCGCTTTATGGCCTTTGTAGGCCCCCTTCCAACTTCACTTTTCTATGATTCTATGATCCCCAGAATCTCCAAACGAACAGCTGAAAGTTCTGGAAATTAGAGTCTAAAAAGCAACTTCTCCAAATTGTGTTTCTGTGATTCTTGAAGGATGCAATACCTCAGAGTTAAGAGTACTGATTGTGTTGATTTCATTATCACTGTATAATAGTGAAAGATTCTGTATGCCTTGCTTCAATCATCAATCGAAATGGAGACTGCAGCCAAGAAATCAGAAGACTGAGACTCAGAAGGACAGCAATGAAGGATTTGTCACTGGAGACTAAGACCAAGATCATCCACACTCTTGTATTCCCAAATTCACCACAGTGTGAAAGCTGGACAGTAAAGAAAACTGATAGAACAGAAATTGTAGGTAAAAGCAAAACAGAAGTTAAAAAAAGACAAAAACTTGGTGGCAACTTAAAGACTAACTAATGTATTTTTCAATGTAAGCTTTCATGGGCAAGCCCATGAAGTGGACTTGTCCACAAAACCTCACAGTAAAAAAAATATAAAAGTTAGTCTTTCAGGTACCACCACATACTGTATTTGTCTTTTTTACTTTTTATTTGTTTTGCTTTTATTGATAATGGCTGCACAGACTAACATGGCTACCTCTATTACAATAGGGGGAAAATGATTCATTTGAAATAGGATGCTGGAGGAGAGCTTGATAGAAACCCTCGACAGCCAGAAAGATGAATAAGTGGGTCTTGGAGCAAATCAAGCCTGAACTATCTCTGGAGGCAAAATGATGATGGAGGCTGTCCTATTTTAGGCACATTATGAGAAGGCAAGGTTCTCTGGAAATAACAATAATGCTGGGAAAGGTTGAGGGCAGCAGGAAAAGAAGAAGACCGAATAGGAGATGGACTGAATCCCTAAAAGGAGACCATAGGCTTGAGTCTACAAGAAGTGAGCAGGGCTGCTGAAGAAAAGACAATTTGGGGACTGCTGATTCACGGGGTCGCCATAACTCTGAGATGACCTGACAGCACATAAGGACAGCAATATGTATAATACTAGTGGCCCAGCACATAAGGACAGCAATATGTATAATACACCAGTGAAAATAAACTAGTGGCCCAAAGTTCCTAAATAGCCACTAAATAAAAGTTGAGTGGCATCCTTTTGAGAGTGATGGTTAAACCTTTGATGGTGATGTGAATAATAGAACTGTCAGGCTGGATGCGAATTTTGTCACACTTCAAGTAAACCCAGGAAAACCACTGGAATTTAAGTCCCACTGATTTCCATCAATCTCCTTCAAGTTTGGCTAAATGTGGATTCAACCCACTGTCTCACACTTATTCTTCATGTGTACTTAAGCCATAATCTTACAAAAAAGAATCTGCCAAAGGGATGGATAACTTGGGGAAGAATTGTAGACGAATAATGTCACAGACAGGCTACATCATTTTGGCCCTTGCTGGGAGACAGAATTAATGTGATGCCTGAAAGCAATATTCATTTATCTGGCAGTAACAAAGTTCAAATGAAGAGAGAGAGAGAGAGAGGAAGCAAAAGAAAGCTTTGCTTGGCAAAGACTGCTCTCTTTATAGAGTTCAAGATCATAATTTTATTATTAGAATTCCCAAGAAAGGTTACATAAGCTTTTTAAATATATATACACATATTTTAAAAAAAAAATCAAACATTAACTTCTAGGACTCTTTGACATTGTCGCTCAATTTAACAGATTGATTCCACATTTTAGCAAGGCATACACAACCTTGTTAAATATAAAATTGGCAGTTGATTTCAGTGGTTATTTGTGACCAAATGCTAGATCCTGCCCATCCATACATGCATTTTTTTTATATTTTGGTTGTAGGGGCTAAAATGTGTGACAGTTCCCAGGATGAGAAGTGCAACAGAAATGTAAATATTCTTACCAGTGCCGAAGACAACAACAGTTCAGTTCCATGACTGTTTAAACTTTCAGTATTTGCAGGAGATGCTTTTCAGAGTGTTTTTTTTAAAGGGAATTAGTAGTTTCCTAATCTAGACCATCAAATTTTGGCTAATCTGTCTAGTATGAAGTATACTGAACATTATATATGACACCAGAGAGGCTCACACGCAGGTGGAATTGAGCCTGAGAGAGCAGAAATTGAATAAAGAGCCAAACAAATTCCTTTAGAGTAAGGGATGGGGGGAACTGAACCCCTTTCACATGGTGCTGGATTACAACTCCCACCGTTGGCCATACTATATGGGGCTGGTGCACAATGAAAACCCACTAGGGCTTGGAAACGTTACTTCAGGAGAAGAAATTTCCCCAAATCCCCCTAAGTCAGAAAGGCCAGGGGACACGCTGGCTGATGAATTATTCAATTTGCCATTCAAAACAGTAATGGTGCTTTAATTCTCTCTCTCTCTCTCTTTTTGGAGGGAATGCGCTTCCAGAATTCTCCAAGAATTCCCCAGGCAGAATTCTGGGAGTTCTGGCCCATAAACACATACATGTAGACACCTTCATTTCACTCACCTGGATAAAGACAAGGCTTTCTTCTAGGCCTTGTTTCCTGTTATAATGCTTCCTGGGAGGAAGCTGCCGCAATGCTTCTGGGGAATGGTAGTCTTGTTGCTCTTTATGTGGTAGAGGGGATGCCTTCTGAAGACCCACCGCCTTCAAGTGCAGAAAAGAGGCACAGAAAGTAAGAGAAAGGAAGGAAGGAAAGAAGAACGTAGGAAGGTAGGCAGGTGGGTGGGTGGGTGGTATGGGTGTGGCAGAAAGAGAGAGTTAGATAGTGAGGGCCAAAATAAAGAAGACACATGTTTCCTCTATCCCAGTGGTTCCAAATCTTTTTTAAAATTGCATACCAATCGGCAGCCCATTTCCATAAATTGTACCCTTCATATCAGCAAAATGGTTGTGATGAATACAGTTTGTTGGCCTCACAGGACTGACTGAGATGGCCACTTCTATACACACTGGTACAAGTGCAACAGCACTTCAGTGTTAGTAAAGCAGAGATGAGTGAGTGCTAAGGCAGAGAGGGGCGTGCTGCCAAAGACGTGCACTGTAGTGGCATGTTTGCAACACATTGCTTAGGGAGAGACTCCCCACCATTCGCCGAAATAACAAAATGAGCTTTTCTCAAGATTAAATAACAAAGAAAACCCGCCCACCACTCGTCATTATGTTCAATTAATTTCAAAACTTTTTACTTGTATCTTGTCTTACACTTTTGATGTATGCGCCTTTTCCCGCTATTATTCAATTTTTTTAATATACCCCTAATATGTCCTAGCTCATATCCCTGCTGTTATGTGGGTACTCCAGGCTGGGAATCACTGCTCTATCCAAACAAGTTTCCTCCAGATATGCAGATATTCAAAGCTGCCATGTTTGCACAATCAACTTGCAAAGGAATCTCACCTGCCTATCTCCCTTTATCAGTGTCCAAACAAAAGCCAGCAAGGGCTTACCTCCTGTTAGAACAAACCACCAAGTGTAACATCTGAGACAAATCAACGGTAATCCCTGTGTTGACTCAGAAAACAGGGAGGTGGCTCTCAGGAGGGATGGGGGAAGAGGGTGGCAGAAAGAGAGATAGAGAAGCGATAGGCCTGCCCATTTTTCATTCTAGTCCCACCCAGCATTTATTTCAGGCAATCACGGTGAGCGCTTCAATGCTGGTAGTGTTTCAAGAGAAAATTAGACAACCATCTGTCAGATATACTTTTATTTGGGTTCCTGCATTGAGCAGGGGGGTGCGATCTCTCTTCCTCCCTCCCTCCCCCCTCTCTCTCTCTCACACACAGAAGGAAGCTGTTTCCCTGTTCCTGCTAAGGGATACCCTCTTCCGAATACTGTTTCTGACCTAGGAAACACCTGGCTTCCTCACCTGGATAACAGAGACCCATGGAAACAGGACTGGATCCATCTTAGATCAGAAGCAGGATGGGCTGAATTTGAAAAGGAACATAAGGAAGACTTCTGGGAGTACACTCCGTATTTCTGATCCCCGCATTACAGTCCGCATCCCCCACACTTACACTCTAGTGTGGTGGAGGAGGATTCAGTCTTAATAAATAGCACAATTCAGAGTGTGGGTGTTAAATTACTCAAAAGTGTGCTGGCTTGAATTTCAAGTGTACAGTTTATCTACATTGCCTAGGGAACACCTATAATGAGGATTTTAAGATGTTCCTATCATTTGCTCAGGGACACTCTGGAATTTTTATTTATTCATTAGCAAGAATTTATGCCCTACCATTCTTCTAATAAGCACAAGAAAAGGTCAAAGAGAGTTCATGATTCGCCTCTTCCCCAACTTATTCTCACAACCAGAACGACAGGTTACCTACCTGCAACGGTAGTTCTTCGAGTGGGCCTCCGTGATTCACACCCTCGGTGATCTGCGCCTGCGCGGACCCTCATCGGAAAGTTCTAGAGCTTCTGCGGTTGCAAGAAACACATTAGAATAAGGCCCCTTCCCCTCGTATAAGTACCCTGGTGCCAAGGCTTCCCTTTCAGTTGTGTCAACCGCTGCTACATTAAGCAGAATGGCATGACAGTGGGGAGGACGGGCGGGATTGTGAATCACAGAGGTCCACTCGAAGAACTACAATTACAGGTGGATAACCTGTTGTTGTTCTTCGCGGCCTCTGTGAATCACACCCTGGGTAACTAAAAAGCTGTCTTACCCAGAGGTAGGGTGTCACGCCAAGGTAGAGGCTAGAACAGCATGCCCAAAGGCCACATCAGACTTCTGCCAGAGATCAAGTCTATAATGCCGGATTAAAGTGGATGGCTGTGCCCAGGTGGCAGAGGCACAGATGTCTGGAAGAGGTACACTGCTCTGGTGGAGTGAGAACAAATCAACTTCGGGACTGGTTTGTGTGCCAGCTGATATGCAAGGTGAATGGTTGAAGCAATCCATCTAGATATAGTTTGAGACATCACCTGGCGATTGGTGACTTATGAAAACTCGAGATAAATGCCTGAAAGGTTGGGTGCGTTGGACGTAAAGGCAAGGGCTCGCCTAACGTCTAAAGTATGGAGGATTCTTTCGAGTTGTGGATGGTGACGGGAAGAAGGAAGGATAAACAGCTGAGAGAGATGGAATTGAGATACGACTTTGGGGAGGAAAGAAATATTCATGGATAGTTTGACTTTGTCCAGAAAAAAACTGTTAATAAGGATAGTCATGACATAAGGCCACTAAATCACTAGGCTTGTCGAGCTGAAGTGATGGCAATGAGAAAAGCTGTTTTAAAGGTAAGTAGCCGTAAATCAGTTGAAGCTAAAGGTTCGAAAGGAGCTTTAGTAAGTTGTTGCAGTACTAGTGTTAGCGACCATTGCAGGGAAGGTGGTGGGTATCTGGGTAGATATGAGATAGACCTTTAAGAAAACATTTCAATGTTGGATGCTTGAAGAAATCAGCTGCTGGAGAGTTAGGGGGCTGATAAGAAACTATGGCGAAGAGGTAAACTCTCAAGGAAGAGAGGGAAAGGCCTCTAGACTTGAGATGAAGCAAAAAACAAAGAACAGTAGCAAGTGATGAATTTCCAGACAGGTAGGTGTTTCCAGAGGGCAGAGTGGGTGGAATGGTGTCCAATCTTGGTCATGGGAGTGTCAAACGTGATGTTTGGCCTTGCGGTCGTTGCGCCTAGTAATGGGTTGTTTCTTTGATTTCTGAAATAGGGTGTATAAGATGTTTGTTTTGGAGGATCACGTTGGAATTTTTG